TGACCTGAGGATATGGTATGAGCGAGCCAATTTGGGAGAGGAAAAGGACCCCAAAAGAGGTAAAAAGAGATCCCTAGAAAGGGAGTCCAGCAAGGATATTCCTGCCGAAAAAGGAGTGGTTGAGACTTCGGAGACGGAGGTTGCCGTTGAAGAAGAGAAGAAAAAGGTGAAAAAGAAGAGGAAAGCTGCAGCTATCGAAGATCCTTACACTCTCATGGTTCCAAAGCCGAAGAAGATGCCAACGATCATTGAGAAGGGTGGATCAACATCCAATGTGGTGGCTTCTGCAGTGGAAAAATCCTCGAAGACGCGCACAAAGTCAAATGTCGGTGGAAAGACAAAGAAGAGGGAGAAAAGTCAGAGTCCCAAAAAAGAAGAGGTGGTAATGGTTCAAGATCCTGAAGAAAAGGATCGTCCATCTGATGCGGATGCACCAGGGTCTGCCACTGCGAATGAAGAGCTGGGTCAATCTTGCCAGGCGATTGAGGACGCAAAGAGAGAAGGATTGGTATCCTCAATTCAAAGGGGCGTACAGGATCCTGTTCTTACAGTTTCGGACCTGGAGTATATTCTGCTGCAACTTCACCTCAAGATTGCCAACAATCGGAAAAAGAAGTGATTGGATGGTATGGATGAAGGGATAGTTTTTCTCTTTCTGGAGACGGGTGCGCTGGAACAGCCAATGTGCTGACAATGTGGTGGTTACTATTAAGGGTATGGAAATCCCTGATAGTAGAAGTCAGTAGCTTTTCGCGTAGCGAAGACCACGGTTTGTGGTGAAGAAGGCCAAGGAGTCTTCAGTGATGAGAGGATCATGGTGAAAAAAGATTCTCTATGGGTAGTAGGTTAGCCAATGTGCTATAATTCCGTCCTGGAAGACGTTAAACCACAACTTGCATTTCAAGCAGCTGGCTGCTGCCTTAATGGCAGTTTTTGGCCAAAAGACCTGCATCTCCAATGTGTCCTAGGAAATCCTAGGACAGGGGGAGTGCGGAGCTGCAATTGGTATTGTAGAAAGGAGTTAGTGTTGGAAGTTGAAAGGGTTAATGAACCCGTAAACTATGTTTGGCTCAAGGATGGCCAGTCCGTCCAAAGAAAAAAGTCCGTGTTTGGGAGTGAGGGTTGGGTTAGTGCCCCTCTACTTGTGTAAGGGTGCCCCTTCCTTGTTGCTCTTATCCGTGTTCTTGGTTGTTTCTTGGTTCGATCTGGGAAATATAAGTTCAGGGCGATTAGGGGAGTTGATTTCCTTCCTTGGTTGTCCCCCCGTACCCTAAACCCTATACCAGCATCAGCAGGGCCCAGGCTCCTCCTGCAATCGCGGAGAGCCTGGCCGCGCAGACTTCTCAGCCTTCACGAGACATCTCGCAGACCCCCGTATGACATGGGCTGGGATCTTCTCCCTTATACTAACAGTCCTTAGTAGGGACTAGAGTACCCCCTGTTATAAATCCCTATGAAGGATTCGAGATCCTAAATAGGGGACCCCTAAAAAAAGAGACCCCCAAAGAACAGGATGCACTTATAGTAAGGACCCCCAAGAACCCAAACCCTAAACCCTTTTGCATCCCTTACCCTTGGTACCCCGAATTTCGGAAACCCTCACATGGGGGCCTGAAAGAAGTAATAGAAGACTCTGGGATCCGCCGCTTTCCGCTCAAGCATGTGCAGCGAAGGCTCCTGAGATCAGCAGAGCACGGGAGCACTGAAGGTATACCCGTTTTGAGTAGGGAAATGTAGGGAGGGCCCTACGCCTACAGCACGCTTTAAGGGTATACATCGGGCCCTAATTCCCCTCTTTCCCTACTAAGAAGCAGGGGGTTGAAGGCATAATGTAGCTCCAGGCATGATGCTGCCCAGCCTGAACAAGTGCAGGATTCAGGGTTGGGAACTGGGTTCGGATTTCGGGAAGCATGTAGATTCAGGGCGGAAAAGCGCTGCAAAGAGGCCAGGCTGGCCTCGTTTAGGGTTCTTAGGGTTCTTAGGGTTCTTAGGGTTCTTAGGGTTTAGGGTTTAGGGTTCAGGGTTCAGGGTTCAGGGTTCAGGGTTTAGGGTTCAGAATACTCCTAAATTACCATCCTCTTCACGCCCCAATATAAGGCCAACCTAAGAAAATTCTCTCAAGGGCCTACCCAAGAGAAGCTACGGCATCCGAGGCTCCGATCCGGTATCAACCACAACCAGCTCTCGCGGCTCATAGCTTTGCCGCCGGAAGCTTTCGTAGAGCAGCGGATGAAAAGCATGCCTGCCGAAGGCTCCATGCTCCGAGCTTGGTCCACCCTGCACCATGCTGCCCTACGATTCTTATGATTCGTATGATTATGATTCCTTTCTTATTAATATTACTGCCATCACTAGTATTCTTATTATTGTTATTATTATTTCTATTATTATTCTTATTCTTATTCTACTTTTTATCATTCTTGTTGTTATTGTTATTGGGCCTGCCCTGGCTGGTCACGCAAATCACCGAGATCAGGTCATTGACGGCGAGCGCGCCTCGGATCGCTAGGTGGACCGTGGCCCAGATCGCACAGGGGATCCGGTCTAGGGTTTAGGGTTTAGGGTTTAGGGTTTAGGGTTTAGGGTTTAGGCCGTACCCAGTATACCCCACATCAACCCTAAAGCCCCTTTTTTTGACCGCCCCTAAACCGAAAGCCCTAAGCCTTAAACATGAAACCCTAAACCCTAAACCCTAAACCCGAAACCCTAAACCCTAAACCCTAAACCCTAAACCGGGCACAGCATATCACGGGCCTTGCTTTCGGCAACTCTGATCATTGTGCCTATGAGCCGAAGGCGGAGCCAAAGGTTGGCTTCGGTATGCATTTACATGTAAATAAATACATAAATAAATAAATAAATAAATATATATATATATTTATTTATTTATTTATATTTATGTATTTATCTATTTATTTCTTGATTTATTTATTTACTGATATATTTTTTATGTATACCTATATATGTGACTCTGTATGTGTATGTATATATATATCTCTCTCTCACGGCATTCACGACCAAGATGCTCGACGAGCGCTCCTCCACTTCTGGATGGTCTCCTGGGCGAAAGCTGCCAGAGCCAAACAGGCACCGGAAGCAAAGCCCTAGTTTAGGGTTCAGGGTTTAGGGTTTAGGGTTTAGGGTTTAGGGTTTAGGGTTTAGGGTTTAGGGTTTAGGGTTTAGGGTTTAGGGTTTAGGGTTTAGGGTTTGGGGTAAACCCCAAACCCCAAACCCTTTTGCAACAGGCTTGCCACCTCGCCCGGAGTTGGTGCCACTCGATATAAGCCCTAAACCCCAGACCCTAAACCCTAAACCCTGAACCTGAAACCTTGCTAAGGCAGCCAAGATGCCAAGGTCGAAAGCACCTCCGCTCTGCACCTCCGATGTGCAAGGATGCAGGCTTTTGGGTTTTGAGGAGTTTAGGGTTTAGGGGTTTAAGGTCTAGGGCTTCTCGCGGATCCGCTGGCGTTAGTTCTTCACACTGGCGCTGGTTAACTACAGAGCTGGCTGCCTCAGGTTGTCTCAAGGAACAACGACAGGGACCAATCCACGCCGTATATACTATATATATATATATTATCTGTTATGTATTAACTTCTCTTTATATATGCATATATATATATATATAGATAGATAGATAGATATACAAAAGTCCATATTTTCCTTTTATGTATTAATTTCTCTATTTCTATATGTGTATACAAAAATCCATCTATCTCACCATGTCCTGAGGGCAAGCAAAACAGCAACTTAAGCCGCCCAAATACATATAGAGCCGCTGCCGCTGGCTCCCAGTGTTGGCTGCGGGGTGGCAGTGAGCAGCCTACAGAAGCTGCCGAGGCAAAAGCGAGCATGCAATTTAGCATCATAGACAGCCTGCATGTTGATCAGACTTGGAAGGAAGTGGCATACGCTGCAGCATCCCTAAACCCCAAACCCCCGGACTAACCTCCTAAACCCTAAACCGTAAACCCTAAACCCTAAATCTCCGACATTCTTCACTCACAGAGGCCTCCTGGCAGTCCTCGGGCCCTCATCCGCTGCAGCCACGTACTTGCGGCTTCGTGCCTCTCATGACGACTCGGAAGTCCCTCCCAAGACTTGCTCAGATCTGGTCTTTATGCCGATGCTTCTTTTGCCCCTCTTAGCGACTGCCAGCCGTGGAATGACAGTGTAGGGCTTGCAAGGAACACGGATCTGCCAAGACGCCATCCTTTCAGGCTGCGGTGCTCGTCCGCGGGGCGCCCGCAACCCGCGCAGTCCTGCGACAGTGGGAACATCCTGCAACAGTGGGAATGCGCACAACATCGCACAACGCACAGCAGGCACGTGCCAAACCGCCCCAACTTGATTCGTGCGCATCGCATGTGGGATTCCTCGGCCAAGCCAGCTTGGGAGCGTTGATCGGCTGGAATTCTGCGAAGCTGGACTCGCCTAGCTGGAGCTGGCCGCCACAATCATTCAAAGTGCAGGCCTGCCCAAAACGCCCCACAAGGCACAGGCAACTCAAGTACAAAGCCAAGATGATCCAGGATGCTTAGCTGTAGCCGAGGCAGGGGGCTTGTAGCTCTCGCAGCCCACCTGTCCGATTTCCATGTTTGGTGTGGGCTGCACTGGGCACTTGCACTTGGAGTCTTTGCGCAGCCCAGCTGCTGCTTTGCAAGATCCCCGTGGCACTCCACAGCCATCCAGGTACAGCGCCGACGGGTGGGCCATGGGGAGAACGCCATTTCTTTCGCCACTTCTAGAGACTGGCTGTATTCTCTTACCTTATCTTCTATGACCTTACAAATTTTTACCGTCTGTTCTATTCTGTTTTATCTTCTATTCCGTTCCGTTCTATTCTGTCCTATTCAACTCGTTTCTATTCAGCATTCTATTCCATTCCCTTTTATTCTCTTACGCATACAGTCGATTTCGAGCCGTGCTCCGGGTGCCCATGTGTCCCTCCCATAGAAAGCCTCGGCGCCCCCAAAACGTGCTAAGCGCAGGGTCGGCACCCCGAGGTAGCAGAGGCTTCCGCCCCGGGAGAAGCGGATGGTCTGGCCATCAGTGAAGCCTTCGGACACCTCAAGCTGGCACAACTTACTGGAAGCTCATGGTGCTTCATAACCCAATTCTGACTGTACTTATAATAACCCAATGATAACCAAAATTAGGACACTTAAAGGGCTTCTAAGATCTTCTAAGTGGGTTATCAGTGGCATGTCCCAGTGCATCATGGAGCAGCACAAGGTGACAAAGGCCTGGGAAGTAGGGAAGTAATCATCCACCACCAAGTCGAGCCACCTGAACACATAAGGGTTTAGGGTTTAGGGTTTAGGGTTTAGGGTTTAGTGGCAAAAATGTGAAACTTGGTGCCAGACTGGCATCGCCTCCCCCCCCTTACATGTATCCCTATATCTGCTTTTAAAGGTCCAGCATTTGCACTACATCTGAGAGCTGGGACTCTCCAGCATGGCAAAGGCGAAGTTGGTAGACACCATGCGGACGTAGGTCCTGTCCCGGACCGCACCCTAAACCCTAAACCCCAAATCACGCGAATCTGGCGACAGTGCGCGTGACGATTCAGACACTTGCAGCTCACCCCGCCAAGTTCGCGTTACGTGGCAAGCAAAAATCATTGCAGATGCAAAGGGGGAAGGGTTGATGACAAAGAGGCACAGACTTCAGGAACACATCGGATTTTTCACTCTGCTCAGGAGCTTCGGGTCGCGTGCCAGGGCCTAGGAAGTAAGCGGTGCAATTGCCTGCGAGTGCATCTTCTGCTTTGGCACAAGGCTAACAATCTGCCAAGCTGTCTTGGAGCGGCGCTTGACGGGGTGCTGCGCGTCATTGCTGCCGACAGTTTTCACGGCAACTCTCGACGTCAGGAACTGCTGCCTGGCGGACTCAGCGGATCTCCAGCACTTGCCACTCCATGCCACAAGTCATGCGAAAAGAACCTTTCTCTGCCAAAGGTGCCGAGGGAAGGTTTCTGAGCGAAATCAACTGCTGCATACAGTAGTCTGTCTCACATAGCATGTAAGAGCAGTCATCTTTGCGAATTGTGCCACTTCAGTTGTGCATGCACCCCTGGCCTCTGTACAGGCGTCGAGCCGCCGCTTGGCGTAGTCGAGCAGATTTGACCTTGGCAGAAGCTCGAACCACAGCAAGAAGCTGGGATGAGAAGCTGCTAAGAAGGACTTTGGCGATGTTCAGCCGCCGTGTTGATGGGACGGCAGCGTGGTTTGCAGCCTAGGCGCACCTCATTCCTCATGGCGTTGGGGAGGACAATGCCATCCTTGCCGCCAGATGCCCTGCCTGCGCTGTCACATGGGGATCTCGGAAAACCATGCTTTGGGTTCAGGGCTTAGGGCTTAGGGTTTAGGGCCTGTTTAGGGCTCAGGGTTGAGGGTTTCGGGTCTTAGGGTTGAGGGTTGAGGGTTGAGGGCTTAGGGTTTCGGATTTAGGGTGTTTAGGGCTTTAGGGTGTTTAGGGTTGAGGGTTTCGGAGTTTTAGGGTCTTCGGGAAGTCTCCGCTGTTTCCACGGGGCACCGGCAGCCTGATAATGCCGTTTCCAATGCAGCCATGGCCTGCACGACATGACACACCGATCGTATCGAAGCATCTTCAAAAAACAGTTGGGAGGGCTAACCCTCTGATTCTTTTTACTATCATAGACTCCCCTTCATAAGAGATCCCTAAAAGGGATACCCCGATTGCGGGTAACCCACCAAAAATAACGTATTAGATGCTGTAGTCTAGAGTACTCTAGAATGAAGAGGCACAACACTATATATTGCACATATATAACAGACTACTCATGGCTTGGGGGGCTTCACTAGGCGCCATAATGGCCGGCTCCAAGCAGCTGTGCAAAATTATCTGCTACAGTTAGACGTGCATCTCCCGCCTCCCCCCCACCCCCAACCCCCTTCTTCTTCCTTACCCTCGTCTTCTCCCCTTCTCCCTCCCCTATTCCTCTTCTTCCTCTCCATCTGACCTTCGTGTTGATTTACAAGCGCAATATACACATATCTTTCTTTCTATCGATTGGCTTTTTGGTAAGGTGAAACACGAAGATTTTCCTGAACATTCGAGCAACATGTCCGGACAATTTCGCCCCAGACGCAGATGCTGAGAAACCGAATGCGCTCATACAGATGCCCATCTCTCAAGAGCCAGACCGCAATTTGCAACTCAAAATCCCAGTGTAACCCTCAAATATGCCCCAAAAGGTGTCGATGTTACCCGTTTGTTGCGGTTTTTTTGAGTCACACGCCCTCACGGAGACTGCGATCCAGGTCCGCGGAGCTCTCCCAGGATTTGAGAGAACAGGACGTACGAACACGCGATCCGTAGCTCAAGATCCCCAAGCGTCTCCCTCAAGTATACCCTGAAGGTGGTATTGAAACCATTCGTTATTGAGCCCTTCCCCCCTCTGTTCTTGAACCAGACCCCCCTGTTTCCTTGAAACTTCGAAGTTCTGAATTTCTGCAACTCTGAGGGCTAGCGATGCTAGCTTTCGTGATGCTTATATGCATATCCATATATATATATGTATATATACATATGTATACACAACCTATTCGATCTACGCACATGTACATATGCAAGCGTGAGTTGCTGCGTTCGACACCTCCTTGGCCCGACTGGCGCTCGGTGCCATTCCAAGGACGGCACAGCCTCTCAAAAGAGCTCAGAGGGTTTAGGGTTAGGGTTTAGGGTTTCGGGTTTCGGGTTGAGGGTTTAGGGTGGGACTCAGAGGGGTGCGATTTGCTCAGCTCTCGACAGGTGCGTATACCTATGGGACCAAATGAACTGGGGTCATATACGATATACTACTGCAACCCCTAGTAAGGCACACGAACCATAAACCCTTTTAGGGTTCATTTGGTCCCCAAGCTACCTATACGTGCCTCGCCGGTAGTATGCCTTGCCATTTGTTGGATCCTGGGCAGAGGCCAGCTTCAATGAAAGCCGGGTTGCTGTTTTAAGTGAGTCCTGCTGCTAGAGCGGCTCATTGCTGCTTCTGTCGGGCGTGGGGGGATTCCATGTGGGATTCACCCCTTCGCATCTCCCAAAGGATGCCATGATCTGGGTGCCAGACCAGCTCAATCGCTTTGGCTGCATCCATGTTCGCTTTCATGGCATACCGCCGGGCCTCTTGGCCAATTGCAGCATCCTGGGGCTGCCAAATGTAATTTAGGGTTGAGGGTTTCGGGTTTAGGGTTTAGGGTTTAGGGTTTAGGGTTTGGGGTTATGACGGTCCAAGAGCAGCTGCAACATGGATGGGCTCAGAAGGTCCTCACCGTGAATCTCCCGGCAAAGCATAATGAAGCACTGAGCCCGGTTGTTTAATAGCACCTTCCGCGGGGAAGTCAAGCAGTGTCCACGTCCGTCAAGAATGGTCTACATTCATCTACAATCCGGATCGCTTGCTGAGAGGTGTGTTGTGAGGGCTTGCTGAGGCAAGCATGGTCGTGCAGGATGACTTGCGTGCCTGCAGAATTGCTGTTCTTGCAGAAGCACTGTCGATGCAACTAATTTGCAGCGGGCGGCGGCCACGTACTTTGGGTCCTCAGGCAGCTGGCCTCAGCAGGAATCCAGCAGCCCTTGCACCTCTTCCACGTAAATCCCCATTTGTTCATGATTGCAACGAGTTCGAGATGCCGATATGATCACGTGTCTATGCCGACACAAGCCAAGAACACTGGGGCGGGGTCCATCATCCTGGACAAGGCCAAACATGCACCATCAGAATGCACAAGATTCAGACTCCACACTGCGCGTGTTACAAGGAACCGAAGACTAAGACATTCAGGATCCGAAGCCTTCTCCAACGCCTCCACCGCAGCGGTGTAAAGGGCAACGGCCTGACGCTTTGCAGGCATGGGCCTCTAAACCCTCTGGGCTGGGTGGGGCGAGGGGCCCTAAGCCCTTTTTCTGCCGCTGATCAGGGCCCCTCTCTCCCTGTAAGTCTGAACCCTAAACCCTAAACCCTAGACCCTAAACCCTAAACCCTAAACCCTAAACCCTCCACACTGTTGAACTGCTCGGCTGTGGGGCTGAAGAGCGGACCTCCTCTAGCTGCGAGGCCTTGAAGCACTCGTTCCCACGCCTGGGCTGGGTTTAGGGTTTAGGGTTTGGGGTTTGGGGTTTAGGGTTTAGGGTTTGGGATTTGGGATTTGGGGTTTGGGGTTTGGGGTTTAGGGTTAGGGTTGGGATGTCCCCCTGTATACTAGCAGTCCTTAGAAGGGATATTCGTAACCCCCCAACTCTAATCCCTATTTCAGGACTGAGAGTTCCATGGAAAAACATCCCAAGTTAAGGGCTTCGGGTGGTTTATGAGCTCTTCATCTGACACTACCCTAAACCCTAAACCCTTTTTGCAACTGGCTTGCAAAGTCACGCCAGGAACCCACCCCTGATGTCGCTCAAGTTGCTGCACCCTAAACCCTAAACCCTAAACCCTAAACCCTAAACCCTAAACCCTAAACCCTAAACCACAGCCCTGGGGTCCTGAAGATCCTAGGTGGCGATGTTACATTTGCAGGGTCACAGTTTGCGCAGCACAACTCCAGGAATATCAGCTTCCAAGCTGTAAGAAAGAAGATTGCGAGATCTGCACGGCAAGAACAACGAGATGTGGCGCAGGGGGTGGCAACATCGAGCCTTGCCGCCAAAAGGCTCCTTCAGCTCAGCCGCCGTGAGCCCCGCAGGGATGACAGGTGGAGGTGGTACCGCAAGGTTCGCCTCTTGAAATGGGGAGGACTGAAATGAGGGATCCCTAATATAGAACCCCCAAAACCGTAGGAATCCCCTTTCTTTTCATCCGGACTCCAATGAGGTACCCCCCCCCTAGTATCCTAAACCCCCCAAAATGGCTCCCAGGGGGGACCTCCTTGAGCCGCTTCACGCCGCCTCCGTCCCCTCGCACCTCCACCTGGCGCGCACAGCGGCGTCTTTCAGGACACCGAGGAAGAAAAGCGCGCCGAACAGTGTCATGGCAAGGTGTTCCCCTCGGGTTTCGGGTTTAGGGTTTAGGGTCGGCTATCTGACTTCGCTGCTAGAAGCAACTTCTACGCGGGCCAACGACTATTGGCCACTGTTTCTCTGAGCCACTCTGCTTCAGAGCGATGGCCTCCCAGCGCTCCGCGTGCGCGTCAAACTTCTGCAGCCGCCCAAGCCTCTGCCAAGGGAGACAAGTTGTGAAAAGTTGAAAACCCTTTGGACTTGTTGACAATTTTGTTGCCGGGACATGCGTTTATTGCAAGCAGATACAAGGCAGCAGTTTCGCACTCATTCGGCTTGGTCTTGTGCCCAGCTGTCCTCACTTACCTTTTGCCGGGGTTCAGCGCATCAAAATCGCATGTTGTGCTTGGAGGACAGATTGCAACCGATGATCAGGCTTTCGACCTACCCTGCCCTCCTTTCAGGACTTCGTCTTGCGGATACGAATGGAGCAGCAGTAGTCACAGAAGCAGGAATCACAATAAACACAAGAATTGGCCGACAACACACTCCGAGCCCACAAGACTGACAGATGCTCTCGCAGGCGTACGCGCTTGCCACCAGGAACCCAAAAAACAAAACAGAAAGGCGAAGCAATCCAACCTATGCGGGTATTCACACCATTCACAAGCCAGGCGTGTTGATGCGTGCTCCGGCCTTCCATTCAGCTCGGGCGCGTTTTGCAAGCCTTGCAGCTGGACCTAGGCCCGACTGTCGCACAGAGAAACGTTTTGCAGCTTGGGGTATCGATGCTTTGCCCGAAGGACATAGGGCATCTGCCATGGGGTGGCCCTGTATGATATTGCCTATACTATTGCATTACTGTCTTATCGTCTGATCGTAGTATTGTTTTATTGTATGATTGTAGGATTTTTGATTTTGCGATTGTGTGATTGTATGGTTGTATGATTGTCTGATTTGTACTCTTGAATGCTTGTATGACTGCACCATTGCATTATGCAAATCATGTCAGAATATTAATCATACAACCCATGGCAAACCCCAACAGCATACTGAGCTTTGCGCAAGCTGCTTGGACTTTAAAGACCCGTGCTCCTGACAGCCACGATTGTGTTTCTGCAACAAAGGTTGACGACTGGAACTGGAACCCTGTCGTCTCACAATCCCTGGCGACAGTACGTAGGAGAACCCAACTACCGGCATGCACAAGGGCTTGGGAATGGCATCGGGCGTTCAGGTCGTTACAAGACTATGTAGCTAGGCAAATACGGAACATGAGGTGAGCATGGGCTCAGCCACAAGTAACGCTGCTCTCCTCTTACTGTTGCATAGTAGGGAATGAGGGAATGAGGCACCCTTTCTCCCCCTTTTCATACCCTTTAAGGGATGATGTAGGGTACCTCCCTCCTTCCCTATGCAAACATTCTTCTTATTTTATTTTTTATTCTTTGTATTATTTTTATTAGCTACTACTACTACTACTACTACTACTACTACTACTACTACTACTACTACTACTACTACTACTACTACTACTACTACTACTACTACTACTACTACTACTACTACTACTACTACTACTACTACTACTACTACTACTACTACTACTACTACTACTACTACTACTACTACTACTACTACTACTACTACTACTACTACTACTACTACTACTACTACTACTACTACCACCACCACCACCACCACTCCCACGACCACGACCACTACCACTACCACTACCACTACTACTGGCACGGCCACAAGAAGCGCTGCTCTCCTTGAGCAGCGGCCCGGCAGTTCCCGTCGAAGGGCTGCTCTCGGGCTGGGCCCCCTTCGCGCTGTTTCGGTAGCCGCCCGGGGTAGGGGCAGCCTCCAAGTGCCTCGCCAGGAAATCCGAGCAGGGCTTGGGGCTTGGGGCTTAGGGCTTAGGGCTTGGGGTTTGGGGTTTCGGGCTTAGGGCTTAGGGCTTAGGGTTTAGGGTTTAGGGCTTAGGGCTTAGGGCTTAGGGTTTAGGGTTTAGGGTTTAGGGTTTAGGGTTTAGGGTTTAGGGTTAGGGGGGGGGGGGGCTTCAGGGGCATGTGCGGGTCGGTTTTTGCTGTGCCTCTCCCGCCTAGCTGAACTGAAGTGGGCATATGGATCACGGTATGTTTGGGTTTGCCACCCGTTAGGGTTTGTACTCTCACGCTAGCACGAAGCGTGCGAGGCTGCGAGGCTGCGAGGCTGCGAGGCTGCGACAACGGGTTCTTGGAGGTTCATGGGTAGTTATAAGTCGGGTTATACGTAGAGTAACCATTAGAACTGGTTACAGCTTTGTTCAAGGCACTCACAACCCTACTTTGAACTCCCCATGAACCTTCAAGTAAGGGTTTCTCGAAATATGGCCGAGTCGAGTCTTGAATCGGGCCTGTAGGCAACGGTCACGGGCTCGGCACCAGCTGTTGACGCATCATCAAACTGCACCCGCATGTTCCTGCATTAAGGCCGCAAGCACAAGCCCTACCAACGTCGAATCTACAAGCCTCTGCTCTGGCAAGGTGTCCTGCCCTCGCCGTTGTTCTCAACCTTGCGCTTCACTCGTCTTACTGCACCCCTTCAACAAGCACGTGCACAAAGTCATCGTCGCATGGCACCGAGCAAACAAGAGCATGCAGTCAATGTGCAGCAGCGGTCCCGAACTGCTGAGTCTAAGCTGCCAGCGATGGTGCCCTCCATGCCTCCATGAAACCTCACTGCAACATGGACTCCTTGCTGGTCGGCCTGGGACATCCTAAACCCTAAACCCAACACCCTAAACCTTAAACCCTCTTATTTGCAAACCCTAAACCCGCAAAGCATGCCTAGGAGCTTCTCGAAGTTCCGGCCACCCAGCACTCGGACACGCTCGCCCGCTTCAAGACCAGAAAGGTCCGACATCGGAGGGCGGCTTGACCTGCAGAAGCTGTTCAGGGTTCAGGGTTCAGGGTTTAGGGTGTAGGGTTCAGGGTTTAGGGTTCAGGGTTCAGGGCTCAATGTGTGGCGTGTTGAGACATGCAGCATATGCAAACTGCAGTTTCTGCCTGGCAAGACTCTTCGCGCCCTTCTGGTCGGATTGATTCGACGTCGGCTCTCCGTCGCAAGAACTCACGGCTAGCTACTGAGTTTAACTGCGTATGCTGCCTGCGGTTTGCTGTCGCCGTGGGAGGGGGGGGAAGGGGGGTGTTGAATTAACAAGCGTGATGCGTCAGCATTACAAGTCTCACATCCTTACCCTAAGCCCTAAACCCTCCAAACCCTTTTGCGATGGGGCATATGATGGCTTCTTGGGAAGGCACGGTGCTTGTGACCTGCAAAACGGCTCCCGGATGCAAGCACACCCTCGTTCCACACGTGTACGTATGTACATGTATTACATGTGTGTGTATGAATATATATATATATATATATATACTATTATATATATATATATATATGTGTGTGTGTGTATGTATACATATATATATATATATGTATAGATATATATATATATATGTACAGGTATATGCATATGCAGATGCATATGTATATTTATGTTTCTCTTTGTGTATGTATCTATATATATATATATATGTGACTTATTTGATTCTGCAGTTATTTACGTACTTACAAGTCATGTTTGTTTGTATATACGCAAATATATATTTCGAGCGGTTACACTGTTCACTTGGCTTTTTCAAGAGCGCACACATGACAGCCTAACTTTGGGGGAAAATGACTTGGAAATGCTGATAGAAAAGATACGAATGAAAAGAGACTAGGAAATGTACCAAGTTTCAATAATAGATTTCATGCATCAGCTTCTCTCTGCATTATCTTCACGGTGTGTTCATTCTATTCATTCATTCAGAAAGCTCATATACCTAAGAATATTTGTATTTCTGTCATAAAGACTTGCGCCGGCACCTAGTTAAGCATGCTTTCGCAAACACACCGCCCTGCAACCCCTTCGTTCTTCCATGGGTGTTGATATATCATATATACATACAGTTCTTTCTTGGGTATATATATATATATAGATACAAACATACAGATTCTTGGCGAAAGTATACATGAATATGTAACAAGTGCACGGGCCCCTGATCCCTCCGACAGCTCGTGCCTTGGTGACGCAAATCCTGCCGATCAGGTCGGGCCTGGTGGCAAACAAGTGCCTCTAGCTTGCGCTGCTGTGCACTGTCCGATATCTCATATCTCACGATATCTCATTATATCTCATACTATCTCATACTATCTCATTCTATCTCATTATGTCTCATCCCATCTCATATCTCATTCTGTCTTATTATATTTCATATCTCATTATATCTCTGTCATGACTGAAGGGTGGGTCCTTAGACTATTTTGTGGCTGGCGACTTCGCGCCCCAGCTATCTGAAGTACCGGCTGCATCCTCCGCGCGGCAGAAAGCATGGACAGCCAGAGGACCCCGCATCTGTGCCACCACCTCAACAACAACCGGGCACCCTGAGGTTTGCAATTGCACGCTCGAATCTCTAAGAGAAAGCAGTGCATTCTGAGTACATCGTCCTGACGGTTCAGGGACTGATGATGATGCTAATTATAATAAGAAGAAGAATAATAATACTAATACGAATGCTATTATAATAAGAAGAAGAATAATAATACTAATACGAATGCTAATAATACTGTACTGGGTCATGAGGAAGTTCATGAGGGTTGTAGCCCTCTCCGAGTCCACGACACTCAGGGCTCCCGCGAACCAGCAGTTGCCCAAGGCACCCTGGCCACGCTGCGTGGTTATTGTTCGTCCTCTTCTTATTATCATTGTTATTATCATTGTTATTATCATTGTTATTATCATTGTTATTATCATGATTATTGTTCGTTTTTGTAATTATTGTTTTCAGTATTCTTATCATTGTGGGTTTGGGATTTCGGGTGGTTTAGGGTAATCTGCATCTTCGTTGCACTATGCCACGCGGCGACTTGCAAAGGCTGGCGGCAGACGTGCACAAGAGTGGCACACTGTCGCATGCGTGAAGCCTGGCAAACATCTTCGGGGCGTGCTGCCTGCCAGAACAATTGACAGCAAGCGGCACCCACATGTGAAGATCTACCGAGGGGGGCTTGCGGACAAAGGTTGAGGACATGGGATTGCGTGTAAACCGACAATCTTGAGTGTGTGACTCATTTTACGGGCACCATCCAGGAACGACACAGCATAGACCATCAGCTGGCTCTGTTTTCGACTGCCACTCAGTGCCGGCCGCTGATTCAGACCTGTCTGGTCCATCGCAGACCTGCGACGCCGCCTCTCCTGCAATCACATGCTGCGGACACGATAGTTGCAAAAGGGGGCTGTGTTGGAGGTCTGCAATGGACGCCCAAACCATTTGGGATCCACGACCGTCTACTGATTCCGCGCACCTGCATCTGTCATGATCTCTTAGGAGACCATGAAGATGCCAGCTTCTTGGCGTTCAGCCGCACAAACCTGGGCCGAACAGCCCCGACGAGGCTCTTGTTTGTCTTTAAAGCAGCAGAAGGGACAGCAAGAACCGCCAGCGAGCTGCTCATGACCTTCTATGACCTTGCAATCATGCTACCAAATTCTGGGTCGTGGCTTCAGAATTTCACGGATCTTCAGGGTTCCTCGCATAACCTGTCTCGCGGCAGCAAAGGCACCGCGCATCTCCGCCCAAGAGCGAGTTCAGCAACCTTCGATTGAGCTGGTGGTGACCGGAACGTTCAGCCACCAAAACCTTCATAACATCCGCACACCCATACCGTACCCCTATACCGCTTCGGCATCTAGTTCAGATTAGTTCAGTATAGAAGCAGCTCGATTCCGTCGACATCCACTGGCATGGGCTCGTCATCCTCTTGGCAAAAGTCGATAAGGCTCCCATACCATCTCATGTGCTATGTGTTGCGCAGTTCCCCCTCTACGATGTCGTTACTCCCCAGTCCCGAAGCAGAATCACGCACAGCCTAAATTGCGTTCCCAGCTTTCTGACTCATGGCTTGGCTTGAGTGCACATGGGGGGTTCCGAAATTACACCCTTTGGGGGTCCGTATGATCCGGGGATCCTACTATTTGGAGATCTATATTAGGGGTCCCTACTTTCGAAATCTCCCACGTCTAGCGGCCTAGCGTGATGCACTTCTCAGTATCGGCCTGCTCCTCGTGGTGGACCAAAGCAAACTTCGGATTGCTGCCACCTGCACTCCATGCAAGCCTTGCAGTTGGAATTCGATCCCCCAAGATTCGAACCACCGCGCCTTTGATCACCATCGCTGATGGGATGGCAGGTGGGTCCAGTAAAGATCGCACAGCCCGCTCCGCACGCAAATCCAACCAGAGCCATTGCAAAGAGATCCCTTGCTCGTCAAGCTTCTGTTGAAAGCGATCTTTCACATCGAGGAGCATGTCCTCCTCCGTCTGGGTGAGAGGCCCCTCTTTCATGTAGACCAGATACCATGGCCTGTCCTGGGGTCACAGATTGCTACATGCTGGCCGCATGGTCTCCACGTCTCCCAGAAACGCTAAAGAAAGAGAGAGAGAGAGAGACAGAGCGAGACGGAGGGGGAGAGAGAGAGAGAGAGCGAGAGAGAGAATTTCAAAAAGACAAGAATGCTTCACGAAGTTATATGCTGGTAATGGCTTCTTCTCTAGCAAGATGCCGAAAACTTTAACCCAGACAAAACGAGACTGAAGACCAAGTGTCTCGGCCCAGAAACTGCTGATGCGTTCTTCCACTCAGCTCAGGCAGAGCACCTCCAACAAAAGCCCAGAGTCCAAAGAGCCAACTGGAAACCGCCCACACATGCCCTCACTATCACACGACGATGACACGCAAGACAGTACCCGCCAAAGGCCCTACGAACAAGCGCGCGCAAGCGTGGGCAAAAGTTGAGGCCCACAAGACATCAGCTGACTTGCACCTGCCAAGGTGCCCGATGACGCTTCCTTCGGCCCATCAACCTGTCCTGACGAGCTCTACAACATCACACGCATCATCTGACGAAAAACCCGCTGCCAGGCCTGAGGCGGTGGAGCTGGTCTTCCTGCACACCTTGGTGGATCTTTCCGTGGTTCCAAATCCGTTGGGGGACCCAATGCTAAGCAAGCTACGAATCCAGGGACAATGTGCAAAGCTCAGTCTTTAAGGCCATCATGCCGAAAACCGCTGCTCAGAGCATAAGAAGGCTGTTCAAGGCTTGGTAATTGATTGGGCGTCTGATCAGTGTAACGAGATGTCAGTCATGCGCACCCATGACTTGCGCGGGCATCTCCATGCCACCATATCTGCGTCTGGTCGCGGGGCTGATGTGCCCCTGCTCAGGGGACTGTTGTGCTTGCCATGGCGGGTTCCCAACCCTTGTTTTTGCTCGCAGTACTTGTACGTGTGGTCCGTGTGGTCGTTGTGGTCGTTTTGCCATTGCTGATGTTACTGTTGAAGTTGCTACTGATTACGAGCACGCTCGTGGAGAGCGTTGGACAAGAGCTGCCACTCGCGGGCATCAGCTGCGAGCGTTGAGAGCGCTCTCCGCAGGGTTGCCAGCCCAAAAACGACACACATGGTGCAAAAAGTACTAGTAAGCCACACCAACACCTAATAAACCCTATAAACCGTAAACCCTAAACCAAAAACACACGCATAACAAACAAACTCCGCGAACAGCTGCAGCAGAGTCGCTGGTGCCAGATCAGCACGCCCGGCTCCGCGGCCGGCAGTGTTGAAGTGCATGCGCTCCTCATGGCTCCAGGTCTCTCCGCAGCTTAGGGTTTAGGGTTTCGGGATTCCTAAAAGCCCTAAATCCTAGCAGGGTTCGAGTTTAGGGTTTAGGGATTAGGGATTAGGGGGTAGGGTTTAGGGGGTAGGGTTTAGGGTTTGGGGTTTGGGGTTTGGGGTTGGGGGTGTGGGGTTTAGGGTTTAGGGTGTAGGGTTTAGGGTTAGGGTTTAAGGTTTAGGGCCGATCATCAGGGATACTCTCCAGGGCTGGACATCCAGGCAAGGGGTACAGGAGACTCAGGCGGCCAGAACGGCTGAGTGTCAAATCTCAGGGTGGGCAGAAACAGGGGGACATGGGAAACCCAACTGGCGTTTTCAAAAGATACACCCAAAAAAAGTGCAGAGCTAAAAATGCAGAGCTAACCTATAGTAGAAGAACTTACATCTTCTAAAATATCGTAGACGATATTATGATGTACAGACAAGTGGAGGCCAAGAGTCCAGGCCCACAGTGTCACTGGGGCGTTCCCGGACAGAACAGAACTTGGGCAGGCCCTCAAAGGCATTTGTCCAGTAGGGGTCCGGCTTCAAGCCCAAAGACAGGATGGCTTGCCTGGAGAAGGGATTAGGGTTCAGGGCTTAGGGTGGGTTTTTTGTATTCGGGTCGCGGATCTAGCCGACCACACTGCAGAGGGCTTTTCGGGGCTTTTGGGTTTAGGGCTTGGGGTCCTGTAAGCACATCATGCGCAGAGCAATGCCGGAGCACACACTCATTTGCGTCCCAGTGGCCGGCATTCATCGAAAGTAGGAATCTCAGCTTCGGAAGGACAGCCTTCTGCTCCGTTCGAAAGCTTGACGTACTCGAACTGCTCAGAAGCTGGCTTTGCCTTGAGCTTACATACATATGGACGGCCCTAAACCCTAAACCCTAAACCCTAAACCCGAAACCCTAAACCCGAAACCCTAAGCCCTAAGCCCTAAACCCTAACCCTACCCGAAGCAGGGCGCCTCATCCTTCTTGTCCTTGAGGTTGGCCACGACGCCTTCGGCCAGCTTTGCCACAAGCTTCCTCAGAGCAACTCACTTCGCCCAGCTACGGTAGCTCTGAGGCCGGTTTAGGGTTTAGGGTTTAGGGTTTAGGGCTTCGGGTTTCGGGTTTCGGGTTTAGGGTTTAGGGTTTAGGGGTTAGCATCCCCATCTGCCTCCGAACTTGAGATCCGCCGAGGCTCTCGAGGCTCGCTTCTCCATTGTTGGGCCCGGAAAGCTTTTGAATAACATCTTGCACGTTCCTCAGCTCCGAACATCTGCCCCAGTGTTGCCCAGCATCGGTCTCCCGTCAGCCTTCTGTTCCCTAGACCAAGAAGCCCTAAACCCTAAACCCTAAACCTAAACCCTAAACCCGGCTTTAGGGTTTAGGGTTTAGGGTTTAGGGGTTAGGGGTTAGGGGTTAGGTTTTAGGGTTTAGGGTTTAGGGTTTAGGGTTTAGGGTTTAGGGTTTAGGGTTTAGGGTTTAGGGTTTAGGGTTTAGGGTTTAGGGTTTAGGGTTTAGCTCCCTGCGAGCTAAGCAATCGTAACACCCACCGTGGCAGAGAAGCAGTGGCAGATCTTCCAGGTCCAAGAAGTGGCCCGTCCTTAGACGTTGGCATGGAAACCTGCCCACGATGAGCACCCTCATTGCGGATATTCTGGGTCCGCAGTAGGCACGTGGCAGCAGGCTCGTGCATGAAAGTCGAAATGTGCCCCTAGCGCTTGTAGGATTGTGATGGATATACCATTGCTTGCTTCAGAGTCCCCTCAAACAATATCTTTCTCACAGGGGGAATAAAGGGACCATTACCTTTCTTCATTGGGGGGATTAGTTGGTAATCACAAGGAGAGGGCGCCGCAGAGGTTGCTCATTTTGGTCACAGTCTCATCTTCGGCGGGGGCTGCGGTGCTTCCTTTGACTTCTCCGTCTCCTGTGCTTGCGCGCGTCTGCCTCAGCTTTAGGGTTTAGGGTTTAGGGTTTAGGGTTTAGGGTTTAGGGTTTAGGGTTTAGGGTTTAGGGTTTAGGGTTTAGGGTTTAGGGTGTAGGGTTTAGGGTTTAGGGTTTAGGGTTTAGGGTTTAGGGTTTAGGGTTTAGGGTTTAGGGTTTAGGGTTTAGGGTTTAGGGTTTAGGGTTTAGGGTTTAGGGTTTAGGGTTTAGGGTTTAGGGTTTAGGGTTTAGGGTTTAGGGGCCCATCATGGCCCACACGTCACTCACGAACATATACGAACATGAGCTGAACCGAGACGTGAGCACACCATATCAGGGCCAGTGACACACGGGAGACAGATCGGCCCGGCCAGCTCCAC